AGAGGTTAAAAATCCCTGACTGACGCGGAAGTGTTTGTTGGGCCCGCCTCCAGATCCGATGGCAACGGCGAACAAAAGCCTGGGCTGCTGGCACACCCACTTCTTTCTCCAGGGCTGAGAAAAGTACACTGAAAGGGGGTAAGACCATGAGAAGCACAGGGGAGTGGATTGTGAGCATATTCTACCCATAACAGGTGTTTACTCCATGACGTAGGGTTCCCAGAGACCATACATCGCAACCCTTTCTCCAGTTCCTGGTTCAATCTTTCCGTCTGGCCATTGGACTGGGGATGGTACCCCGAAGAGAGACTGACAGAAGTCCCCAAGAGATTGCAGAAGGCTTTCCAAAAGCGGGAGGTGAACTGGGGTCCCCTATCAGAGACGACATCTCTCGGAAGTCCATGTAACCTGAACACATGCACAAGAACAATCTCCGCCGTTTCTTCTGCGGTGGGCAGTTTAGGCAAAGGAATGAAATGAGCCATTTTAGAAAATCTGTCTACAACAGTAAGGATCGCAGTGTTACCTTCAGACAGAGGGAGGCCTGTTACAAAGTCCATAGATATGTCAGACCAGGGGCGTGCTGGAACTGGAAGAGGATGGAGATGACCAGCTGGAGGTTGGTTGGTTGACTTGTTCTGAGCACAAACAGGACATGCGGCAACATAGTCCTTCACATCCTCCCCCATGGCTGGCCACCAGAATCTTTGTTGCACTGTAAAAATAGTTCTTTTGACACCTCGATGACAGAAAAACTTTGAGGTGTTGGACCAGGTGATGACTTGAGAACGAAGGTCAGGGGGTACAAACAAGCGGTTAGGTGGACAGCCGGATGGGAGAGGCAAGTCCTTAGTAGCCTGCTTAACCCTCTCCTCTACTTCCCAGAACACTGCCCCAACCACACACGTAGAGGGCAGAATAGTCTCTAGAGGTTGAGTGGCTGATGCGGTCTCAAAAATGCGGGATAGGGCTTAGCATTCTTCGAACCAGGGCGATAAGACAAAGTGAAATAAAATCTATTAAAAAATAGGGCCCACCTTGCCCGTCTGGAATTCAGTCTCTTGGCAGTACGGATATACTCCAGATTTTTGTGATCGGTCCAGACAAGGAATGGGTGCTCGGCCCCCTCCAACCAGTGCCTCCATTCCTCCAACGCCACTTTGACTGCCAATAGCTCCCGATTTCCAACGTCGTAATTCCTCTCTGCAGGAGACAATTTGGGAGACAAGAATGAACAAGGGTGAAGCCTACCGTCCCTAGGACTGCGCTGGGAGAGAACGGCACCAACACCAACATCAGATGCATCAACCTCCACGATAAATTGCAAATCCAGCTGTGGCAAAACTAAAACAGGAGCACTGACAAAACAGGTCTTTAGTTTGTCCACAAAAACTTTGCTTTTGAGGAAGTGAGTGCATGTAGCGGAGCGGCTATGGAGCTAAAATTTCTAATGAACTTTCTATAGAAATTAGCAAAGCCCAGAAATCTAATTCCTTGCGACTACCAGGAACAGGCCAGTTCTTGACAGCGCTCACCTTGTCAGGATCCTTGCTCACCTCCCCCTCAGTCACCACATACCCCAGGAAGGACACTTTAGACTGGTGGAACTCGCACTTCTCCGCCTTCACAAACAGCTAGTTGTCCAGAAGACGTTGGAGAACACGGCGGACATGCTCGATATGAGACTCGATGTTCGGAGAAAAGATCTGAATATCATCGAGATATACAAACACATTAAGCATGTCACGTAGAACATCGTTTACTAACGCTTGAAAAACTGCGGGGGCATTCGTTAGGCCAAATGGCATGACTAAATACTCATAATGGCCACTAGAAGTATCAAATGCCGTTTTCCATTCGTCCCCCTCCCTGACTCTGACAAGATGGTAAGCATTCCTCAAATCCAACTTTGTGAAAATGTTAGCACCTTGTAACAGTTCAAATGCAGAGGAAATTAGAGGGAGGGGGTACCTGTTCTTGATGGTCACATTGTTCAGTCCCCTGTAGTCAATACATGGACGTAGTGACTTGTCCTTCTCCACAAAGAAGAATCCAGCTCCAGCGGGTGAGGAAGATGGGCGAATAATCCCAGCAGACAGGGAGGCTTCAATGTAATCTTTCATTGCTTTTGTCTCTGGTTTAGACAAGGAGTAAAGGCGGCCTTTAGGGGGAGCAGTTCCAGGCAGCAAGTCGATGGCACAGTCATAGGCCCTATGAGGCGGTAACGAGGTAGCCCTGGCCTTGTTAAAGACTTCCTTAAGGTCATGGTAACATGAGGGAACACAAGACAGATCTGGATAGTCTTTCTCAGAAAATTGAACAGGACTAGGTCTTTTCTCAGGAAAGCAGTTGACACAGACGTCTCCCCAGGCCTTAATGAGACCAGCAACCCAGTCTATGTGGGGATTATGCTGCAGCAACCAGGGCAGGCCCAGGATTACAGGGTGAAGGGAAATAAATGAAATAAATGAAAACTTAGTGTCTCTGTATGGCCATCAGGAAAACTGAATATTACTGGGGTGGTGTGGTGGGTAACTCGCCAGAGAAGTCTGCCGTCCAGAGCAGTGGCCACCAGGGGAGCAGCAAGGGGCACAAACCCAGATCTTTGGCTAGGTCGAAGTCCATAAGGTTAGCATCAGCACCAGAGTCCACCATCACCACCTGTTTACGAGGGGCACAGAGAGAAGTGATAGTCACTGTGAACATGGGGTGAGAGGGGGTTTTACATAATTGTGTACGGCTCACCAGCACCCTCTCCGTCACGGATGAGCCCCGCCTTTTGCTGGACAGCGACTGGCAAAATGCCCCATTTGCCCACAAAAGATGCATCGTCCTTCACGAATCCGACGCTGTCTCTCCGCTGGAGTCAGATGAGTACGACCTAGCTGCATGGGTTCTTTGGGTGGGTCAGTAGACTCAGAGCCAGAGGGAGGCAGAGATGGTCCAGAGGAGGCGTACCAGGATGGAACAGAGGTGGCGCCTGGATTACCTCGACGGTTTGGGTTGAAACTGAACCTCTCCCTTTCCCTCTCATAAATGCGCTTGTCAATCTTAATTACCAGGGAAATAAGTTCGTCCAAATCATCCGGCAAGTCCAAGGGGGCAAGCTGATCCTTTAATGTACTGGAGAGACCATGTAAAAAGGCATCAATCAGGGCAGATTGGTTCCACTCACTCTCTGCAGCTAGGGTCCGAAATTCGGTGGCGTAGTCAGATGCCCTACGTCTTCCTTGACGCAGACTCACTAGGGCCCTGGCCGCCTCCCGTCCCGGAGAGATATGTTGAAAAACTTGGGTGAAAGACTTTATGAACTGACGGAGATTCAAACAAACGGGTGAATCACGGCTCCACTCGGCTGTTGCCCAAGCCTCAGCACGACCAGATAGGTGGGATATAATGTAGGCAATCTTGGCACGGTCAGAGGGATAGGTCAATGGTTGGAGCTCAAAGTGAAGATTGCATTGGGTGAGAAAAGCTCTACAGTCTCCAGACTCACCAGAAAAGCGTGCCGGCTGAGAGAAATGTGGGGTGGCCACATGATGGACAGGTTGGTGAGTGGGCTGGGGAGCTGCTTGTAGTGAAGCTGCCTCACTCGGATCTTGAGAAACTTGAATAGCAGTATGTGGAGGAGGGGCCGAGGTGGTGAGGGCTTGTATAGCTTTGAGATTATCAAATTGCTCACTAATTGCAGTCTGGAGATCTGAAAAATTCTGTGAAACACTTTGTAGCTCCTGTTTCACGGCGGCGAGTCCTTGTTCTTGCTGAGAAATCATCTGCCCATGAACACGCAATGCGTTTTTAAACTGGTTTGAGTCGGCTGGGTCCATACTGTGGCCAGATTGTACTATCAGAACCACAAAAATGGAAGGACTCAAAATGCAACGACTCCAGAATATTTTTAATACAAAATAAGGCTTGACGGCTTAAGCCTGGTTCACACGAGACGATTTTAAAATTGTCGGCCGATTTTTCTCCGTGTTAGACCCCACACGGGGAGATTAAAAATCCTGCGTCTAACCACTTTGGTCGTGCAGTGTGTGGTGCGTAGCCACACGGCAAGATCACGCAAGCCACAAACATCACACACGAACCGACACCCCCCCCCCGAGCATTCCCAGGTCAGACGGAAATCTCACAAAATCTCTCGAGATCAAGCGTGACTTCAGAGTAAACAGTCATGGCGGACGAAGAGGATGCAGTGGCGATAGTGTGCAGTTTGTTGTTAACAGAGAAGAGACGTAATCCAAAGAAAAGGCAATGGTCAAAGCCATGCTGCTGTGTTTTGGTTTTTTTCCGGTGTTTCCCTCACCGGCTTGTCACCTCGTCTTCTTATTGGCTACACGCCGTAGTCATGGCAACGCGCTCGCTTGTCCTCGGAGGACACCACACACGACAAGAAATCGGGCCAAAACAATCCAACATGTTGGATATCCCCGATTTGAGATCGGGAGCAGTCCCAATGTCCTTCCGAGCGACGAGTGCAGTCTTAACACACCACACACGGCAGGATAATCTGTAAGATTTTGTTACGGAAATCGGAGCGTTTCTTAAGATTGTCGTAAGGGGTAAATCGGGTCTAAATCGGCCTAAATATCCTGCCGTGTGAACCAGGCTTTACACACAGGATACAAGACAATCTGGCACAGAAACAGGGGGTTTAAGTATAAGTATCCAGGTGCAACACATTAGGGCGGGGCTGGTAATCACAGGAGTGAAGGCAGACAAGGACCGGGAAGTGAACAGCTCTGCAATGAGACACACAAGGTAAGTACAAAATAAAACAGGAAGTCAAGTCTCAGGACTGGGGTGTGACATATACATTTGTTTTTATTTATATGTATTTATTTTTCTCCATTATTAATTCATCTTTGATACAGAAACATAAAGAGTCCTATTTATGATTTTATGATATAGTATTTTGTGATATTATTCCAGAATCACAACATTCTTATAAAGTTATGAGCCTCTTCCAGTTGAGTGTAGTGTGACGTCATCCTCAGGCGGTGGCGTACATCCACTCACGTCACCCGTCCTCGGTGCTGCTGGCCGTCAGTGAAGGCTCTGGATCCGGGACTCTGCTCTCGTATCTGGGGGAGAAAGGCTCCGGATCTCGCATCACTGCTGCAGCCGCCTTTGAGTGTCCTGAAAAGCGCTGTACAGATGATGCATTATTATTAAACTGGATTAATGGGATAAAATCAAATCAAAAGCTAAAAATGAACAGTTAAGTGTGGCAGTTTTGAGCAGGTGGGTTTTGAGAAGTGCTTTGAAGAAACTCCATGTATTCTCTTCTCTACATTCTCAACATTCATCATGATACTTCTGGTGGTTGTTAAATAGTCTAGATGTTCCTGTGTTCTTACCGGGAGGGTGAAGATGCGGCCCTCCTCTCGGGCCTCAGCACGGCAGGCCTCGGCGGTCGCTCTTAACACGGCTTCTTCTGTGATCTCCCAGTGACTCTGAGAGGCTCCGTCATGATCCAGACTGAATCCTCTCACCCCAGTCACCACACTGCAAAAAGTCCCTTGCAAGAAACAAGACAAAAAAAAACTCAAAAGAGGACAATTCTGCTTATATTAAGCAAAAAAATCTGCCGATGGGGAAAGACTTTTTTCCTTGTCTAGGATTCTTGTTTTAAGATATTTTTCCTAATGTATAATGGGAAAAAACAAGAATTTATTTCATGATCTAAGCAATATTCTTCTAATGAAAAGGTCAGATTTAAGCAAAATATTCTTATTGGATAATTTCATGAAATAAAGCTTAGATAAATGTTTGATTAAGGATACATTTGCTTGTTTTATGCTCGTTTTTGCAGCCCTTTTCTAGTTCTAGACTGGTTTTAAGCAAAATAATATAAGCAATACATATGTTTTGATCAAAGAAGTGAACACAAATGCGAAGGACAGGTTTACAGGGTTTATAAACAGGAATAAAGGTTGGGCTGGTATTGGGCCGGAGCAGGAGCAGGAGGTTTCTGAGATCTGCAGCACAAAACATGAGATTAAACGAGGGCTTCAAAAACTTAACAAAAACAGCAAAAGGCCTGAGGTGTTGTCTCACGATGTAGACTGAGGACCTGACAGAGGACTGTCTTCTTCTTCGGATAATTTCCGGCAGACTAGTTGCCTCTAGGCACATTGCTGCCTCTCTTGTTTTCAAGTCCAGCACTATACAATACCATTACATCCACAATAGCCCGACGGCTACAAGAAAGTCCACGAGCGCTCTTATAGCGAAGTCCTGGCCTTGTGCAGGGTTTAGCAGAGTCTGCAGAGTAACATCACTCTGAGGGACGGACGCAACAGTTTGAAATAGCTCTGCTCGTTGAGATCTATACAGCGGACACTCAATAAAAACATGTTTGACAGTTTGGTCTTGTTTGCAGTGTTGACATAATCCATCCGGGTGTTTCCCGATTTTAACTAAATCCCACCCAAGGCCACAGTGTCCCAACCTCAGCCTGGTCAGAATGACTAGTGATGGGTCGTGCCGCGTCGGCGCTTCGGGGCGTGAGCCGAGAAATCCCTGAAGTTTTTATCGGAGCGCGGGCCGAAGCCTGAGTTGTTTTAGATGAGTGACGTCACCAATGACGTTTGAAGCCTCGGGAGCACAGGAAATGGAGCGATTCATGAAGTACTGCAGAAGATCCGCTCAAACTGTGTGTTTGTCTTGATGATTAATGTAGTCAGTGATGGAGAGGCTTGTGGACAAGCTGGTTGGCTCAATTGATAGGGAAGCAGGGCTGGGACCTGGGAGACCGGGGTTCGAATCTCACCGGGAGTGCGTCGATGTAAATACACGAGAAAGAATTTTGTCAGAAATGTTTTGGTTTTGAAACAACTGATGGGGTCACAATCCCAAATGATATCCCCATTTGTGTCACGTCCTTTGAAAAGCACTTACACTTTCAACATGTTTTTTGTCCCATTGGATTTATAAATAAATATATTTTGACTTGAAAAGCTATAATCATTCATCATTAAATATGTATATAAATATATATCTACATATATGTATGTGTGTGTGTGTGTGTGTGTGTGTGTATTAGAGCAGACAACTGTACCAGTTACCAGTACATTATAATTGTATTGTCATTTAAAATATATTCCTTTTCACTACTGATAGTGATCATAATGAAACAGATGAATTAATGGGTCATACACAATCAAATTACATTTTTATTTCTGTTACCAGTATTAGTTCCTATGCACCAAGAGCCTCACAAACAGTTCAATTCGGGCGTTCTGCTCTCCCAAAGTTCCATCCGATGGGCGGGGGAGCGACTGAATTTTGCGTTGCATTATGGGTAACACTTGCCTTCACAACTTCCGGTTCTCTCTGCCCGGCGCATTTTCTCTAAATGGTTGAGTGTTTTCGTCATTTTCTGTATGCAAATACATTCCCGTCTCTAACTAGTGGCATATCGCGCAAATCATCCGTCCAATTCACATTCTTCCCTCTTAGCTGAACTTCATTCTCATTGTTACCATCTGTCACTCGCACACACAGCCGTTTTCGTTCACTCTGCTCGCTGTCATCTTCTTCTAAATCTTCATAAACACCATCCGCTCGTTGAACTAGCAACAACAATTCCTCCTTTCGTTTTCCCACACTGCAAATACCCTTTCGCTTCAACCTTTCACGCAATTCAGGCACTGTCAATCGTTTGTTGTTTTCGTGAGCCATATTCGCCATTGTATGAAATCAACCGGAAGTGAACTGGGCAACAAACGGTGTCATTTTTTGATCACAGCGCCGCTCAGTGGATGGAATTTTGGGAGAGCAGAACGCCCGAATTGTCAATACAGATTTTGACCAACAGGAGGTTTGTGAGCATATGAAGCATCAAGAAATGAACCTTTTCTCGAAACAATGGATGAAAAGGTTCAACACTTCATGAAGCTTCATCAACCCATCACTAAGAATGACAGCGGCTCTCCTGTCTTTACCCGTATATACTGACACTGGTTTTACTGATGGATTTAAATCAAAGTAATGGCGACCCCTAAGGTCGCTTTCCCACATTTTCTGCCAGACAGCTGAGGTGTACCTCTTAATAGTTGACTTCCATTCAAGCACTCCTGGGACTACATAGAACTGACAGAGGACTGAAGAAATGCCCAGGCTTAAACACAGAGATGATTAGATATGAGGGGCAGGTGTGCAGGCTAGGGAGCAGGGAACAGCCACGCCCACAGCCACGCCCACAGCAGCAGGAACAGGAGGGAGGGGGTGAGGAGCTCACAGTGCTTGCAATCACGTGACGCATAAACTTCCGGTTTGATGAAGTGGTGGTCAGGCCAGCAAGAGTTGCTGCTGATATATGAAGAAAATGCGACTCTTCCGAGTATTTTTTTGCTTTTTTGGACATTTCATGACACTTTGAAGCTACTGTGTCATTCTAACAATATGCACAAGGCAGATTTTTTCCACTACATGTTTTGGTAATATCAAGGTTGAAGCTACTGGCACAGTGGTAAATGCTAATAAGTCTCCATTCCTCCGCTGTATGTCACTTACATTTTGTAACGTCTTTGTTTATGCTGCCTCTACCATCGACAATAAAACAGGTCTTCTGTCTGAATTAAAGACAAGATCCTAGACTGTCGTTTTATTCACTTTAGATTCTAACCCACGAGCTAGTGTTACAATCAAGCTTTTGCATTGCTAAACAACTGAAGATTTGGAAAAACACAGATACTGCAACTTTTCCGTCTGTCTGTGGGTTTAAGAACTCAGAGTTAAGGTCCTGAAGGACACATCCTGCATCGTACAGAGCCGTGTAAGTATAAGGATTGGTATGAACTTATCATTCTCAACAAAACAATGCGTCTGTGGCTGTGTTCTTTTCAGGTGAAACATTCACAGTGTTTATTTAAAACACCGACTCATCCCTGACAATGAATGAAATAAAGATGGGGATGTAATAACAGCATTGTGACTCCATGGCTGGGTAAATAAATAATCCTTAGAGGTAAAAGCGTCTGCTAGTGAAATGTTAGCGAGTCACTTTTCCTGCGTCTTTTCGTAAAGTCTTTTGCGCAAGGCTTTTTATTAATCTCTTCACAAGGAATCCTAAAGTATCCATTAAAGGTTTCACAATTCGATCGGTTAGAAAACTTAAAACAACACACGGAAAAGGCAGATACAGACACGCTGCTCTAGTGAACAACTAGCTCGGCTGACCACCACTTCGTGATACGCATATGTAATGAGGCGGACGTGACGTCAATTGCGAGCAAGCAATACCAAAACAATATCAGATGCCATTGTGGACTGTACTCCATATCACAGTTTTGTACACACAGATGTAACATACGTGCCCATTAAATATGATCTTGGAGACATGCATCACGTGCACGAGGCCAATAATGTTGTATTGTGTCAGTGTCACAGGTGGGTTTCATAAGGACATTTATGAACATTTCGGGACTGTGGTCATCCTGCTCCTTATATGGCTCCATGCGTTTGTTATTAATGCATTTCCTGTGTTTGACGTGTATATTCTAAACTCAAACAAATTATTTGTTAAATGAACGTAATAAAATTATGGACATAATTTCCACCCAAAACAAATGCGTTTTTATAGCAATAATTAATTGTGTGGACTTGACACCATGTGAAGATGTTGGATTAACATGATGTAATTTGGTTTGTGTAACATCATAACTTTGGATTGATCCAACTATAAAAACCTGTGGTGAACATGAACATATTGTGTTTATTTAGTAAGAAATAGTTATAAAGACTATTGAGTTAAATCCTCCTCGGCAGCTGCTGCTGTGGTTTTGGACGAAACACAAATACAATGAAGTGAAACTGCATTGAATTCAATGGAATAGATCTTTTTTCTTATTTTAAGATTTCTTGTTTTCTTATTTTTTCTTGAATCAAGAAAGAGGAGCCTAACTAAGTCATTACTTTTTAAGCACATTTTTCTCAATAAGAAAAGGCTAGAATTAATTTCTTAAAATAAGAATTTTATTCTCAAGGAAATTTTGTTAGACAAGATTTCTGTTCTTTTTATACAAAAAAACAAGGTTTTTTTTTCTTATTTCAAGATTTTTTTTACTTGCTTAGAATTGACTTTTTGCAGTGTAGTTAGTGATAGTGGTAATAGTAGTGGCAGCAGTAGTTGTATAAACATGTGTAGTAGTAATAGTAGCAGTAGCAGCATAAATCTGAAATTCTGTCTCCCCATGTTTAGTCCTTGTGCTCCCCAGAATCCCAGCAGGAGGCCAGTCCCTATGTTTCTCAGAGTCCGAGTTGGTTCATACTGTATGACACTATCACAGATGTACTTTGGTGCGAGGCCATGGAGAGACAACAATAGACATTATTTTTTGTTTTACAATCACCTTATTTTTCATCTGAAACTCAACTATGTCAACCTGAAAACAAACGTCACAATAACAACAAGGAGAATAACCAAAAAGCAAATAGTTGAATTCAAT